TTCCCTCAAAGAATGTCAGCTGTGGGAGGAACAAGGCAAGTATGACAAAGACCTCACGAAAGGGGATGGGCGCCAGCATGCCTCTAGCCATTTCTGTGAGCCAGTTGGCACATTCACTGGTTGTATTTGCCCACTCGAAAGTTGCGCAGCAAAAGGGCCTGTGCTTCGTCCATCGAGGTGATCTTTTGTTCAGGCACGCACAATTGGAGGAGGTGTAGGAGCTCCTGGTCAGACTTGTGGATATTGGAGACAAGCATGCCTATGGCTCCAGCCCAATCTGCGCTTGCCATGAGCGTTTCAAAAGGCAAGACGCATGGGGGCTGCCATGCGGTCCCTGCTGGGAATAACCGTTGGGTGGCTGAGCTTTAGGTCAGTAAGCCCCCCCGAGGCAGTTGACAGTGCAGCCAGTGCCAATACTTATGCTTGCAACTTCCCATCCATCTCGCGGATTCATCAACATAATAGGTGACATGGAGGTTCTGCTGGAGAATCTGAAGCTCCTGGTCACCAGGACTCCCTTAGGCATAGCAATGGCACCTAGGCGAGCGGTGATTTGACTCCGCGGCCAGAGACAGCGAATTGCTAAGGCAATCACTGCTCCTGTATAACTACCTACACTAAAGCCGTTGATGACGAAGTGCTCCGGAGAGGGTTGTGCTATATGTCGTAAGTAACCTAACAGCCAGGAGCTGCATCGGTTGTATAGAAAGGAGCTTCCACCAAAGCCCACTGAGAAAGGCTTTATGTGGGAGCCTCCTGTGCGCTGGGAGCAGGCGAGCAGCATTCAGGACAATTTGAGTTCGTCGGTACAGGACAGCTGCCTTCCCAAAGCCAAGGCGCTCCCATCTCTTACAGGGATCCTGTATATGTGAGAAAAGGGTGGCAACTTCATGGATGCCTGTAGTGCTACCAGCAGCCACCTCGGTACGTTCTTTTTGGACAACATCTGCCGGCGAAAGCGATGGCCCGTAGACCTGGCTGTCACCCACCTGTGGGCATGTACAGTGGAAATGGGGTGGGACAGAGCCGTCGAGGGTGCCCCCTCCCAGACCGCCGCAGTTAATCTGCAGGAGGTGTGGCAGCGGCAGGGCATCATAGCCTATCCAAAACTGGTTGCGTTGGGCCACTTTCCACAGGAGTGTGTTCCAGGAAAACTCTGCTTGCTGCTGTTGGTAAATAGCCTGAAAGACATCAGAGGCTATGTGTTCCAGCGGCATGACCTGGTTTCGCAGCCGTTGCAATAAGGCTTGGTTGGCTGCGAGGAAGAGCTCCTTCTCCCCTGAAGACAGGCAACCTGGCTGCGCTAAGGCCTTGTCAATCTCATCGGACGGGCACGAGTCACCGTCTTTATGCCACGTTGGCAAGCCTCGTTCTTCTGCTACTTGGTCCCAAGACACAAAAAGCAAGGGAGGTGCCAGCTGTGGGCTGACAACAACCGGCTCAGGTTCCATTTCCATGGGTGCATGCGAAACTGTGGGGGCCATGGTGACATCCTCCCCAAGTGCCCTTGCAACAGCTCTAGTGAGGTTTCTTGCCCTAGCCTCCGAGTTGTCCGACGACGGGGTAGTGACCGATTCCGTGTCATTCACTCCACTTGCCCCCGGACAACAGCTGAGGCTGTCACCCTGGAAGGACCCCGGAAACAGTTCGGTGGGCGGTTTATCTATTGCACGCCACCGTAGCAGCAGGCAAAAGCGCAGGGCACTACTTCCTACGAGGCCAGAACTATACCCCGAAAACTTGCATCCACCTAAGGGCTTCCAGTCATCAAAGGACCATGCCGGTGGGAGATGCGGCATTCCCAGCACAGCAATGGGCAGGGTTTCCCAGCCGTGTTTTTCTAGGCTTCTCAGTGCCTGCTGCGCTCCAGCTTTGGCTTTGCCAAAGGCATGGAAGATCGCAGGTCGCATGCGATTTGTCGGCATTGCACTTGCTTGAAATAAATGCTCTCCTGGTAGAGACGTGGCCGTGCACGGTCCTTCCAGAAGGGGGAGCACTGACAATATGCCCTGCTCGAAAGTGGCTCTGGCCCAGCTCGTGAGCCAAGGCGTCCGCTCTTGCCCAGTCTGAATGAGTGCCTGCGGGTGAGCTTTTCTGGGCCATACAACAGGCACAGACTGATTCTGACACATGTATAACCCGTATATGGACCATGCTACGCACAAGTCGAGGGCACTTTGCATGGAAACTCCTACGAGAGGGGTAAACATGGTGCCATTGAGGACTGACTCACTTGGGTTGCTTGGCGGTCGAGCAGTGGACAAGACGGTTTGCCTGTATTCTTGCAGTTCTTGTGCAAGGGAGGCAGCTGTCGCTCCCTTGTTGACAGGACTGAGACGCGTGTCACTCCCTATCGAAATGACCAGACCAGCATTGTATTCTAGGTGTGCTTCCGTGAACAGTAGCATGCCAATTCTGTGTGAGGGACCTGAAGCAGGTCGTGTATAGCCAACCGGGTCTGTCCACTGAAATTGCCGCTGCGCAAGCTCAACTAGATCCTGGACCTCGAAAAGGGTGACGGGCACACAGTCATTGTCAATGAGCGCAAAATGTTGCTTGGGAAACAAAAACCTCGCAGCTTCCAGGACAAACACTCCTGCCCAGTAGTACGGCACCTTGCTGAGGCCCGTGGCATTATCAGCACAAATCCACAGGACCTCAGTGCTCTCTTCTTGAGGGCCTACCAAGCGTCTGCGGGAGGCCCACCACGCAGCAAAGGCTGGCCAATGCGGCACCGAGTCTGGCTTCCTATTGTCTACAATGAGGTAAATCATACGGTTGTTGGTGATGAGCTCTCGATGCAGCAGCAAGACATCCTGATGTTGCTAAATCCACCCGCACCGAGACAGGCAGAGCGAGACAGACCGAGACAGACCCAGTGCCAACGCCTACTCGTGCTGTGATTGAGTATTGGTCAAGGTTCAAAGTCAAAAAACCACATGTCACTCCTGCTAAGTTGGCCATCCCCACCAGGCCGTGGCCAGTCTTGAACCGAGTCACCCAGTCCCAGTGGCATCATCTGCAACAGTGTCTGCAGCAGCAGTCCCAGTAGAACCTCCCCTGACAGAGGTGGCACCCCAGAGTCATGTGGCATCCGCTCCAGCTACTTCAGCAGCCCCTCTAGGGACACCAGTGGTAGCAAACCCGGAAAACCGAACCCACCTGGCACCAACGCCTGCACACCATGAGGGGGTACTTGCGCCAGAGTCAGCCTCAAGTTTCTCGCCTCTAGTCGAAGTTCAGACGGTGCCGACTCAGCCCCACACAACAAATGCAGCTTCAGTTGGTGCAGTGTGTGCGGCAACCACAAGCAACGCAAGTGCATCTGCAAGCCAGGTGAACATGGAAGTTCCCCAAGCATGTGCAAACCCAGTTCCCATGGAAGTTGACTCCGTGGAAGTTGTCCACGGCTTGGCACCTATGGCAATCCCAGGAGGTTTGGCCACCAATAGGCCCATCACACCAACGCCCCATACCATGTTCTTTCACCACAGGCTTGATGCGAAGCCGACCGATGCTTCAGAACCCATTGTGCCTGCTTCTTCGGAAGCACAAGCCCCAGTTGCCCAAAGCAGTTGTGTGGAGATGGATACGGGTGAAACACAGGTGAAGGCAACGCAAAACACTAGGTTTTTTCCCAAATAATTAACTGCGTATTTCTCAATGGTGTGGCTAGATCGGCGTTTTGCCGTGAAACATTTCCCCATTCGTGCTTGTTTGTTTGCTGATCGTGGACGGGGTACGGTTTTTCCCCAAGCAGTGTGCTCACACCGGAGTATTTTTGGTGGTGGTTAAAGGTCGCGCTGCTGCGTGTGGCTGATTTAGACGTAGTGGTCACTTTTCGTGGCAAGTGGAAGGGAAACCTCAGTCGACTTTTCGTGACAAGCACCAGAGATCGGAGCGGCTTTGCTTCGAAGTGCAGATTTCGTGGCAGATGCCGCATTTTTGACATGGTGGTGATCTTCGACGCGCTCTAATTTCATGACAGGTGCAGTGAATCTTGGACATGTAGGTCGTTTCAAGCATTGAGGGAAGTCTCGCGTGAAAGCGTTTTTGAACCTCAAAGTGCAGATTTCGTGACAGGCGCAGCTCTTTGTGAACTTCGAGTGCAGATGCCGTGGCAGGCGCAGCACTTTGGGTTCCTTGAAGTGCAGATCTTGCGGCGGGCGCAGCAGTTTGTGCTTTCTGTCTCACACTCTCTCACTCTCTCTGTCTCTCTCTCTCTCTCTCTCTGTCTCTCTTTCTTTCGCTGTCTCTCTCTCACTCTCCCCCTCTCTCTCTCTCTCACTCTCTCACTCTCACTCGCACTCTCGCACTCTTACTCTCACTCTCACTCTCTCACTCTCTCACTCACACTGTCACTCTCACTCACACTCACACTCGCTCACGCTCACGCTCACGTTCACACCACTACACTCACATCACTGTCACTCTCACTGTCACACTCTCACTTTCACTGCCACTCACTCACTCTCACTCTCATCCCACTCTCCACGCCCGAAACACAGAAAAGGATGGCCTCCGCGGCCTTCATCACCCTGCACTTTGGGTCTTACCTTTGGAACTTTTCTCGTGCAGTTGGTGAGGGGCCTCCGATTTGCTTCCAATCAGATTCTTTTCTAATCTGAGCTCCGTTTCCTTTTCCACGGACCCATGACCAGTCACAGCGGAAACGTTGGTGGTGTTGTTCATTCATGGCTCAAGACATGCGGACTGAATTGTTTTGCAACATTTTGCGATGAGGTAGTCGAAAGTCTTTGCGGGATCAAAGAGACAGACAGAAATGCGCTTCAAACCGAGAGCATGCGAGTCTTCTGCAGGTCAGTGAGGGAGTGGCTGCACCCATGTGATCTCAACCAGTCATAGACTTCCATGATTGAATGTATTTGCAAGGTGCCTTGAGTTTTTAGGTGTGTTGTGGAGACCCTGTTGTTTTGAACGCTGCTGGGAGCGACAACTTGGCCGCATGCAGCCCGTGGCAATGGCGACAAGTTGTTGACATGGAGGCGACGAGACTGTCAACACTTCTTAGCATTGGGTACAGTTGAATAGCCTTGTGTTTAAGGTCCGCCGGCAGGCTGTAACAGTGCACTTCCTTTCCAGACGTACTTACTTGCTTACTTCTTTACTTGTTTACTTGTTCACTTGCTCACTTGTTTGCTTGCTTGCTTCCTTCCTTCCTTCCTTCCTTCCTTGCTTACTTACTTACTTACTTACTTACTTAAATGATTTTTGCCGAGTATTGGAATGTGCGTGTGCAAGCATGAACCATATTGATGTGTCAGTTCAATTGTTTGTGCGTTGTTTCAGCAACGCTTCTGATTTCGGTATAGAATGCTTTTTGGTACTAGGCTGCAATCATTGATTCTATGCCTATTGACGGTGAACACTTTATCACTTTCTAAAGTTGAAACACCTAATTACAGTAGATATTTTCAACTAAAGCCTTTGCCACTTCCAAGACAGCTTTATCATGGAACAAGGGATTCCAACAGGACATTACCAGGTGTAAAAACATACACGGCAAATTAAATTTCGTCAGACTCCTCTCACTGCATTTAGATGACCGCTTCCTTAAGAGATGTTGTTTTTTAGTTTTACACATGAACTACAACTGCAACTCCTGTAACAAAAGAGTGTTTTTGTACCAAGCTCTCAACCCTTTTAGATGGAATGTTCTTTCTTTTTTTTTTCGAAAATAATTTGCAAAACTATTTGGAGTGTCTCTTAAGGCAAAACATGACTCTAGAACAAGTAGCTGACCCTAAAGCTACTTAGATTTAGGAATGCAGTGCTTAGGTGAATTCTCAAGTTCCAGTAGCAGATTCTGTTTTTGAAATGTTTTGAACACGCATTCTTTTTCAACCGATTGTACTTTCAAGCAAAAGCGTGCAGTGTTTGCACATGAGTGGTTTCTTGAATTTGCTTTGCTTATCCCTGACAACCACGATAGTGAGAGCATCCCAACTGTTTAAAGCCACGCAAACAAACCCCTTTGTCAAAGGGTTAGACTGAGGCTGAAACCCCGAGAAAGAGATTTTCAGAGATCTTTTGGCCGAGTAGGGGTGGGGGGTGGGGGCAAGGATGCATTCAAAAACATGGAGAGGAGAGTTGTTTTGTTTGTATTCTTTCGTTACAGTATTGTTTTTGTTTGAGGAAGGCAAAGACCTGCCAGATATGTTCTTCTTTTGGGTAGGTGTGTTCGCTATGGTGAGCAGGAAACTCGACAGTGCAGTTCCCTGAAATGGAAAGAGTGACAGTGTTTGCTCTGGAGACATGCCGCAACACTTTGGGTCTTCAACTGGACGCAGAGACATGATACAGGAACATTAGTATACCAATAGAACTGAAATACACTCCATCCCAGGGCCAGCCGTTTTGTTTATGTAAACGCCTTTGGCTTGTGACCACTCAAGCTGTACAGTTCCGATTTGGAACTGGACCACGCGAAGAGCTTTGCGTGAGGGTTTGCTCAAACATAGAAGTCATGTTTCTCACCGGAGAACATCTCCAGCCCGATCTGATCTTTGCCTTGCAGGCGGAGTATGGACGTTATTTCTTGCGGAACTTTCACGCGGCTCCTTTCCCAAGGACTTGGCACGGGCACGCTGCGAAGAACTCCCTGATCTTTCGGCTGCATTCACTGACGTTATGGAGTATTCAGAGTGCTTTTTTTGCGTACACTTTAGCATATTTCTCATGTCCAGGATGACGCACACACACACATACACTGAGAAGTTTTTCTTTTTTTTGTGAGAGACTTTAGAGTGTTGGCAAAGTCCAGAACCTCCTAAGTCCGCGGCCCAAAGTTCACAGTTGCGTAGACGACACCGTCAAGTATATAGTTGGAATATATTACATTTTGGGTTGTTGGCTTAGCCCAGTTGCCATTCGAGTGGAAGCTGAAACGCTTTTGCAGGTACGTTCGGATGATCAGTCCGAATATCCCACTCTGTGACCTAGCTTCGTTGAACTAGGTCAGTCATAGAGTGCCCAGTTCCGCTGCTTTTGGTGGCAATGTCAATGAATTGCCAAAAAATTCAAAAAGAATCGGATTCTCCGCGTGTGATAGTGGTTTACACACTCACACACAAGGCCTCCCCAAGGGAGGGCTGGAAGTAACCTCGGAAAAGGAGAGGAGCCTGAAGGACTCACAGCACTGACAAGACCTGTGACTGCTGTGTGATAGGTACCTGAAAATCTAAGGCGGAGCCGCGAACAGTGACACGCTCCGAACACGGTGTCAGACGTCTGAAACAGCCTGAAAAATTCTGAACGTCAAAGGATACCTGAAGTGGGAAATCTGAATAACGAAACATTCCTGAAGTAAAGACATCAGGAATCAGGACACTCCTGAAGTACAAGAGTCATTGTGCCTGGGGGCGCCTGAAGCCTAGGAACATGACTGGTCTAAGGTGTGCATGGTGGTAAATATTCCTGAAGTAAGCTGGAAGGAGAGAAAGTCACTTGGTGTATTCCGAGCAAAGTACCTGAGTTACACCTAACAATCCTTTAGAAAGGAGAGAAAAACACAGAAGAGAAACGCAACTGGAAGGCGAAAGTGACTTGGTGTATTCCGAGCAACATCTTTGAAGTACACCTAACAAGCCTCTAGGAAGAAAGAAACGCAGAAAAGATAAACGCAACTGGAAGGCGAAAAGGTGATTTGATGTACCTGAATTACGCCAGCAAACCTCCAGAACAGAAGAGAAGGCAACGATGCGAAACGCAATTGGAACGTAAGAAATGACTTGGTGTATTCCGAGCAAAAAGCCTGAATTACCCATAGTTCGCGCAGGGGCCAACAGTGTGGCAATTTCTCCTGAAGGTGATTCTGCTCTGTGGCAGCTGCTGCACGAGACAACCGCGCGCGAGGCGTTTTTCAGGTCCGCCAGGGAAACCTGGTTCAGAATAGTTTGGCCAGGCCAGAGAAAAGGATCTAAGGATTGGTTCGATTTCTTCTTTAACTTCTTCTCAGAAGAACTGATGTTCGTCGTTTGCGCAGAATGTAAACCAGGCAGCTGCAAAATTCTCATTCGTTTTGATGGTTGGATGGCCCCAAAGCGGGCTTCAATGTCATTAAATGGTGGGAGACAAGATTAGTTTCTTGAGGAGGAGGTCACTTTGAAGCAGGAAGGCAGGCCGGCAACTACATTTAAGGGATGGTTCGAACGTATGAGAGGAGATTGGTCCAATCAGAGCTCAATAGCTTCCATGACAATTCCACTCAGCTGGAGAACAAATCAGAAGTCATCGGGAACCCGTGGAATCAGAAACATGTCTGGACTGGCCTGTACGTATGCCAAGTGCGTTGTAACATCAGTTTTTCAATCAGGGATCTAGCAGAAACGATGCTGAAGTCTAGCATGAAGGCGCTGAGCCAATTGAAGAAAGTTGAAAGCCACGAGAAAATATTCGGATGTCCGCTCTTCAGTGCAAATCGAACACAAAGGGTCGTGACTGTCATCGCGCGGGGCTGAGTTGCGCACACTAGATTCAGCAGACGGCGCGTACATCAGGACAGTGCTTGAAGTGACCAAAGAAGCAAAATCGACGGGTTTCCGTTGATCCCACAGATCTCAACCTGGTTGACCCCCACACCAAACCAATGGTAGGATCAGAGAGTTCGTTGTGTTTGCTTGGGTTGAGCAGCTGTTGCAAGGATGGAGGGCTAGAAGAGAAAAGGAGCGTGTCTTCCAAGATCAGCAGACTAGCAAACTGGTTGGTGAGTGTGATAGCTTTCGAGGGCTTGAGGTTGACAGCAAGAGCACAATGCAGAGTTGAGGACAGCGAAAGCCTGAGAGGCATGTGAGGGGAGGGTAGACAATTCGAACTTGGCTGTTTTCTAGCAGTTTTTCTTTGTCGTAATGGTGAATGCCTTTTTGGACCTTCAAGAGTTGCGTGGAGGAAGTATACAGCCTTGGGCGACCGAGCAGTGAAAGAGCAGAGTGCGGACAGAGAGCTTGGCTTTTTGAGAGACTAAGTGAACAGTGTGCATGTCGGATGGGGCTTGAATGGAGGATTCAGAATTCATTGAAGGAGTTGGTTGACTGCGTGCCATCATGCGAATGAGAGCTTCTGAGGAATGCAGCAAATTCCTTAGCAAGACGTTGCGTTGTGATGTTGATAGCAGCGCTGCAAGGAGCAGTGTCTGCAAGAGGCCCAGCTTCAAAGTCACTTCGTGACTGTGTGGGTACTTGGCGGAATCAGCTATCCAGGCGTCTACGAAAGTACCCACCAAGCTATTTAAGAGGCATCAGCAAAAATCGGCCAGCAGCTGCCAAAGTATCCCCAGCTAGCAGAATAAGACAGCTGTGAATCAGGCGGCTGGCGGGCAAAAGTTAGGCACCGAACTCCACGGTCCATGAGAACTTCGTGCGCCGTTGGTCTTTCCTGTCCAAGAAAGGTAGGGTTATAAGAAGATCCACTGCTGCGAGGACGCTGGAGCTGCTTCAACCTTATTCCGCGCCTGCTGAACTTCCAAAAGCGGAGGAGCGCCATACTTTCACGACAAATCATGTTTTTCTCTGGGGGTGAAGTTTAGGTGTGCAAGGTCTAGTTACAAGGGGCCTTCGGCGTTGGTAATTGCCTATTTTTGTCATGGACCACACGTTCTCATTTCATGTCCACCTAACAGATTCTCGGGACAAGTTTTGCAGGTGGCGGGAGGTCAGCTCCAAGCGAAGGTTTTCTTAGCGTCATCGGTGCCTGAGAAGCCGAAGGTTGTTCGGGGCCTCAGATGGCCTGTAGACCTGGCCGATGCACCGGGGCCTCTTAGGGGGATCAAGCAACGGTTCTTGATTCGAGCTATTGCGGCGCACAAACGTCACGGCAGATGGTTTTCCATGTTGTTTTTGATGGCGTTGTCAATCTGAAGCATGGCTAATAGCCACGTGCACCTGAAACCACCTTTGAAGAAATACCGGTAAATCCCCCACACCTTCAAAGCCACCTAACCCTAACAAAGGCTAGACTAGCAGCCGCTCTAGGGCTGAGGGAACCATGATAAAGAAGAACACGTCACAATTTGGCAAGCAAGCGACCGAACTGTCCGTATTACGTCGATTTAAAGCATGTGGCAAAATGGCAACGTGTCACAAAGCAAGTGCACGGAGTAGTCAGCAGCACCTGCAGGTGAACAACATGTAGTGAACATAATGAGATGTTTGCCATGTTTGCAACACATTATTGCTCCCTCCACCCCCTACCCACAAAAGTGCCTCAGTGAGAGCCACCGTGATATGTAAAACCTCCAACAAGTGTCATGGTCTATGTAACAAAACGCATACGATCATGTATGATTTGGTAATGCACCCGACTACACGTACGGTTTTTCAGTTGGCACAAACTGGCACAAACATGCTTTAACTTGTGGGGTCCCCTGCTTCAGGCGAAGACAGATGCGAAAGAAAAACAATTGAGCAGTGGGAGCAGGCCATCCCCTGTCGCAAGAGGAGCTTCATTGTTGTGGGGGACAGCTTCATCATCTCTTGCAATTCAAAAACACCTTCTGGATTGTGCGTTCTCCTGGAGTTGTGCTACAACTGTGGATTTTGGGGAAGGATCGAACACCCAAAAAACACCGGCTTGCACCGAATCCTGGGACTGACATTTCACCTGACCAAATGATTTTCATGTGAATTGGATGGGAAATACACCTGGGCCGGGCAGGTTTGTCCGGATTTTGGAGCGACTCGACTCAAGACTCAGAATCCTCCTGGTGAGGCCGAAATCTTCCTTCAGCTTGTCGCCGTCGGTGGCCCAATGGACGAAAGGAGTCGAAGTGACAGTACTGCATATGCCAAAATTCAAAAGGAAAACCACGGAGTACTTGGGTGATAGGTTGCCTTAGGTTGTCCCACTTTTTGTGGCGCGAAAACATGGATTGGTGCAGAGATCCATTCCAACGTGGTCTGAGAATGATGCCACAAGGCCCCCACCACCCCCGCAGTTTGCAGTGGGAGCTGAGGCAGAGGTGGGGTCCCGTTGAGCTCATCATGTTGCTTTCATCATTTCATCCCAACTGTGGCATTTGTTGTTCCACTTCTCAGGCTTATGCATTAAAGCCCACCCAAAGGCCCACTGACTTGCTGGGGCTAGGTGACGAAAAGATCTTTCATTTCATTCTTGTGCCACATCCTTGTGTGGAAATGGCATAGCAGTCCTTTGCCGGAGTGATCTTTATATAAATCATTCCAGAAGGTGCCTTGAAGAAGATGCTATAGACCAAATTTGGAGAGATAGCCTTTGTAGTTTGTCGTTGAACATGCCTTGACATATTGAAAGCTTGGAGCTGTGTGGAAAGCCTGTGTTTGGTTGTTATTCCCCTCTGGGACCCTTTCATCGAATGACTCGATGGCTTCGATGGCAGGTCGTGGTCATCGATTCCTTAAGAGAGCCGGTCTCGCAGGCGGGAGTGTGAGAATGGCCTTCCTGTTTGGCGGCAAAGCCAGGAGAGGACCTTGTTCTGATTGAATTCTTAGGGATGTATGATATATGCCTGGTTCTTGGTCAGTTGACTTTTGGTTAAAGGGACACCTTTGTTAACTTTGGCACTGAAGGAGCACCTAGCCGATTCAGTGGGGATTCCAACAACTTGCGGTGATCCACAGCCGGATGCATGTGTTGGTGGCCTACAAGTTGCTTGAAACACATTTGACCAGTAGCCAGGGTAATTATTCATAGGGCCTATACATTTTATGCCCCGCGACTCGGAGACCGCCTTGTTCAACCAAGCTCTTTTTTGTTCGGCCGAGCCTCCGTGTGCCGCAGCTGAGGCTGCTGTGACTGCACAGGAGGAGTTGGGTTTCAATAATTCAGACAGGGAGAATAGGAGGTGGTCGTGGAACATGCTTTTGTTGATTCTTGAAGGACAATCTGATAGTTTCTGTGAAAATTACTCTCATGTGGAGAATGTGAGCCCTCCAGCTTTCACTGAAAGTGATTCAACTTGATGTGTTCCGACTGTTCGAGATGCGAATCAGGACTACGTGGGCAACGGTGCACTACCCGCTGGGGGCCCAGAGCATCGGTCAGCCCTTGCTTTCAAGGCTCCATGCCTCATGCTATTGAGGAGTCATGATTTGGCACACCGGGCATGTGCCAGCATAGGAAAGGAACATGTCCGGACTTGGACTATATTATATTGTATTATATATATTATATTAATTATGTTATATATATATTATTGATACTAGGCTATGACCTGTTTAGTTCTGTTGTGCGGTTGGCTGTGCACTGCGGCATCCTGATAGCTCACCCGCCCACTAATCTCCCTGACCCTTTCAGACTATGGGGTCCACCTGGTACCCAGACCCATGGATCATCGTATGGGTGCTACTAGGAGCAAGGACGCTAGTAGCTCCTGGCATTACTACTAGGAACAAGGTTCGCTACTAGTAACAAAGGGCATCGCGACTCGAACGGAGCGTTCGGACGCTACGCACGTGTCCACCTATGGATCATCATGGATCCAGATACCCTCAGAGACCTCCCACCGGCTCTCCACCCCGGTTCTCCGCAGTCCGATGACGAAGAACTGTTGCTGGGCGATGAGGGGGCCGATGAGGGGGCCAACATGGGTGACAAGCGGGGAGGCCTAGGTGGAGAGGTGGGTGGCAACTGCTAAGTTGGACTTCCAAGCAGGCAGTCAGCCGAAATGGCTCCAAATTGAGTCAACATAGAGTAAAGCTTGGGCTACATCTGTCTTGGGTGTAGAGTGTAGATGTACGGAGGAGGTCCAGGCGTTGGTGATGTCTCCTTTGCCTTGCCTCTCTTGGCGAGGATGACTCGCTCACGGAGTTGGACAGACCCTGACAGACCCTGACAGACCCTGCCGAAGTCCACGTTTGCCCCCCCGACCGGAGGCGGAGCAAAAGGAGGGGAACGACCGCCTTTTCCGGACATCTTTCAGGAAGAGTGGGGAAGTTGGAGGTTGTGCAGTGGCAGGGGGGAAGTTGGTGTAGAGTATAGTGCAGCATGCCCCAAAAGAGCCGTAGCCTCCTCCTCATGAGACAGGTCTTTAACTCTGGATAGTGGATTACTGTAGTTGAATATGGTAGATTGCTCACACCCTCATGAACCTGATTTCCAAAACCAGCAGGGATGTTTCTGCTGTTTGACGCCAAGGAAGCTCAAAAGTGATGGAGCAAGACTCAGAGTGAAGTGTGCAGGGTTTTGCGTTCTTCACTGAGTTGTGCTTGAATTGCTTGCAGAGATTCCAAGAGAAAAGGACACACACACACACACACATCCTCCTCCATCTTCCAAAAAAGCACCACCAGACACGCTCACCCAACGCCCCTCCGGCGTTCCACCCGAGGCGTTGACAGCGACTCCGAGCCGGAGGCCGTGTCGCCAGAGCCTCCGCCAGTGGCATCGCCTCCCGTGTCGTCCCCACTGCGGGCGCCGCCACAAAGCGAGCCGATGGCGTTGCTGGAGACGGCGGAGCTGGTGGAGGCGGGTTTTGGGCAGGGATTCCTTGGTCAGAGGTCATTGCCCTCTAAGTTCGAAGGCAAGCCGTCCCAAACCACTCCAGATGCCAGACTGGTCCATTGTTGCGCCATGCATTCCCACCTTGGCACGGCCCACGGGGCCCCTGGGGCGGGGATCCAGTCTTCCACGGCAGACTCCACGGCCCACGGGCGTTGCGCCTGAGCTGTCGCCGTCTCCACCAGGCGACGGGTCCGACGGATGGGGTGTGTCACGGAGTGGGAAGGGCGATGGGTGGGGCGGACTGACTTGAACATGGCAAAAGTGCGTTACTACTAGTAACTAGTAGCAGGAAGCTAGTAGTAACAAGTGCAACGCTATTAGGAACAGGTGCATTACTACTAGTAGCAAGAAGCTACTATCTGAAGGAAACACTTGGTTCATTCCTGCTCACTGCTCACTCAACTCTTGAACACGAGTACTATTGAACTTTGTGTTGCCTTTGTAGCAGCTTAGGTCTGATGGTGCAGAGTCACCAGCAGGATGCCTTCAACATCCTTCAACTTTGTTTCTTTTCGGGTGGAGGGTGTCATGTGCTCCCCTTCCTGTAGTTTCCTCCTCAACAAGGACAATTGTGCCGCGTTATAGGCAGAATCTGCTCCGAGCCTCACATCGAGGTTTCACACCGAGCCTCATTTCGCTTTGGAATGGTTTACATTGAATCACAATTGATATATATATATATAAGTTGGGATGGATATGTTGAAATATGGTTTCGCTCACTGTGGATATGTTTTGACCATGTGTCTAGATAGTCTAGATATGGTTTTTGCTTGGGACAAGCTCGTCCCAAAAGAGTCCGTTCACGTCCAGGTGGAGAGGCCCCGATGCCATCGATGCCGGTCGGGGCGTTAGTGCCGATGCTCCCCAACCGAGTAGGTGGTGCATGTGCTCTGGTTTGCCAATCAGTAAACCTAGATTTTCCATGATTTTACAGAACTACTTTCCCTACTACGAGAGGTGATTTGCTTTCTGAAAGGTGGAGGAAGGGCTCTTGCTGGAGGGTCCCCCATTCCAACACACATCCATAATTGGTTTGTGGTATGCTTCAGGAGAGGCAGGTGAGATTGCGGCACCTGCTCTTGGCACCATCATCCATCCGCATTGCAAGGTCACTGTCCGAGAAAGCTTGAAACTCAGCTCTTCTCAGTCTCAGGATTCTGTGGGACAGAGAAGGATTCCAATCGTGGATGTATGTGCCTGCTTGAATTGGCTCGGTAGCCTTGGCATTCAGCAGATTCAGCTATCTTCACATCAAACATGGCCTGGTCGCATGGAGCCTATATGATAAAAGGTCTGCTTGCAACAGCCCATGACAACTCTATCAATCATGGTTTATTTAGCAAGGCATCAGAGGAAATTGTTGGAGCATACGCACACGGACGTCCACATCTTGCACGAGACATAAAGCTTTGTAGGTTCATGTTCAGGTGCTAGCCTTCTTGCTGCACCCGGGGATGTTTCCTCGCGCCACTTCACTTAGCATCCATGCAAGTGTAACTTATTCAAGCCTTCCTTGTGCGACCCTTTTCGCAGCTTTTTCCCCATGCCACCCTCCACGGGGCGCACTGGGCGGTCTCTTGTCGGAATTGCAGCAGAAACACTCTCATTCATCCCATGTTGGGCCCAAGTAGTCCGTCATCCCATGTTCTTGCCTTCCTAGTTGGTCCAGGGTTAGCGTATCAAAGGTCGACGAAATGCCTGACATCTATTTTTCAATCGATTGCAATTTGCAAGATGCTTCAAGATGACATTACTTAGGGGGAAGCAGAAGGCTGAGGCATGTTTTGGTGCTCCGATTTCAGATGGTTTCTGCTGTGAGGACGACGGCGAGTCCTGCTCGCCTCGTGCACCGCGTGGCCGCGGTGGTCGTGGTTCTTCTCGTGGCTTTTCTCGCCTGGAGCGAGAGGTGGGACATGGAGAGTGGGTGGACAGTGTGGGAGCGCGACTCCAAGAATTGAAGCAATCTTTGCAGGGAACTGGTATGTCTGGTCTGAGATGACCAGTGGGTGACTCAGAAATGTCTAATTTTTTGAGCTTTGCATGGACATAAGTCATGGCAACTGAGATCATCATCTCCCCCTGCCAGATTGACCCCGGGAAAAGTGTGTCCTGGCATCAACCTGCTTACGTCTTGATGTGAGGAATGAATGAAGAAAACACTTGACTGGTCGACCTGGGATGTGCATCTACAACTGCAGCTTTCATTTGTGCACGGCATGGTGGAAGTCCATAAGCCCCACTGCGCACATCCACAGAACATGTTTGTTTCATTTTTTCCCGGTTTCTTTCTGCGGTTTCCAGGATTTCATACGTCCGTCCAAGTGTCCAATCTCAAGACACAAAGTTGCCGCATCTCACAACACGAAGAAAGGATGGAACTCTGGGGGCATTCTACAACACAAACTCCATGGTCCAAGGCATAGGTCGACACTTTGAAGACGCTTTGGTGATATTATGGATATGACTGGTCTGTTGTGATTGTACATGTTCCCGTTCCCTGACTTCTGTTGACACCTGCCCATCCATGGCTGATTTGATGGAACGGTTCGAACGATGAAGATTTGATGATTGGTGGGACATCGCTCTTGGTGGCGCCCGATCGCGACTAGTAGTAACAAGAAGCTACTAGGAACAAGTGCATCGCTGCATCGCTACTAGGTACAAGAAGCTACTAGGAACAAGTGCACAAGTCATTGGTTGATTTGGACCTACCTGTGCTGCGCTATTTCTCCGACCCGCCAGATGTTGGAGCGAGCCTGGTAGTCGACGAGCCTTGGAGAGTGGGGGAGAGTGGAGTCAGAAAGGGGTTTTCAGTGACTACCGGAGTGGATAATGGGCACCCTGTGAACTTTGTAGCAGGTTACAGGAGTTTGCAAGCACCACTTCTTTGCATTGTTATGTGGGCAGCTCGAATTGGTTGATCTCTACTAACCAATCCTCACTTGTTCAATCTCCTGAACTGGAGCTGATGCTGAACCTCTTCATGTCATTTCATGGAGACCTTTTCGGGTTCCACATTTGAGACTATGGTTGTGCTCCACGCCGCGCCATATTAGGGATCCTGAGCAGAGAACTTTTGAAAGCTGACCATTCCGTGGAGAGAGGTCATGCCCTTTTCGTGTGCAATCATACTCCCCCTTTGTATGGTGCAAGCCTTCATGAGAAAGCCGAAGATACGCAAGCGAACTGCGATAGCAGCCGAATCTCCATGACCCACAGGCGACTGTGCCCAATAACATCGAGACGGCTGCCCTGCCAGCAGGTACAGTGGTACAGCGTCTGCAGGTCCAAAGCGATCCAACCTCGTTGCACTGACGTTCCACGTCCAACAGTACCGTTGTGCCATGACCATATATGGACCTTCAGCACCTCCAGGATCTGCACTGCACCCGAAGCCTTTACTCTCATCATTCCTATATATCTTCTTTCTTTTTGCTCAAGACCTGCTCCACTGCAGCATCCCAATCGCCCCTCAACAAAGGCCTCAGTCTCGTTCTCAGTGGCCAGGCACATCACAACCAAAACACCCTTCTTGGACCCTACCACAGGTGTTGTAAACCACCACGTTTCCCAAAGCGCGCTGTCTATGCCGACCTTGGGTTTTCCCAAGTCACTGCTGCTAAAGATTTTAGAAGTCCTCAGTTCCACTGATTCGATGCGCTGATCGACGAGACCGACTGAGGCGATGTGGTGGCCTGGGCCACGGAACGGCTTCGGCGGGCCATTCCCAGCATCCAACACCTGGAGATCGAGGAAGAGCATATGCCGGGGTTGATGGAGCTGGCGAGTTGAAAGTTGTGGGTTGGGACATATTCTTGGGTTGATTGGTGACGGAAATGGAATACTCTTTTACCGTTTACCCCTTCTGTTAGATTCTGGTATAGAGGTCAAGGTTCTGAAGGGCCACACGAACAGGTCTCTTGGCTGTGGCAATTCACTAGCTGCTTGCCACTGCATGCATGTTTCCAAATACTTCCAGTTGAGCAGTGTATGGTGTTCAATTCCACTATTGCTTGAAGGAAGGGCGTGCTTTTGAAGGGAAGGAATGAACAACAAGTGCTTTAGGGCATGCGGTTCTGATGTCAGGGACATCCAGGGACATCCAAACTTAAAGGGGAACCATTTTTTCAACCCCCCAACCACTTTTTTTAAACGCCTACGCACTTTCTTTGAAGCCCCTAACCCTTTCTTTCAACCTCCCAGCCCTTTTCTTTAACCTTCCAACCCTTGTTGTTATCCTCCAAAAACCTTTTTTTTTTTTAAACATCCCAACCCGTGTTTTTAACATCACATCCCTTTCTTCTAACCTCACAACCTTGTTTTACCGCACACAAAGGACTGTTGAGGGTTGCCGATTTTGGGCCCCTTCATTGAATTGCATAACTCTTTTCAAGTACAATCCGCAACCCACAAGCAATCTTGTTTGCAATGCTCATTCTCTGCAATGCTCATTGCCATCATCTGAACTGAACTTAAGATATTAAGCAGAACCCAACAAGCCAAACAAGCCCCAAAAACAAAACATTTTCAATCTAGTCCAATCTTCGACATAGTTCTGAAATCTTATCTTTTGGTTTCTTGTTCTTGTCGTCCAGATTAATCCAGATTAATCTATACTAATATAAATTTGAAGTAATCTTACTTAATGAACCCTACATGTCTGCTCCACAAAAATGTCATTCACTCAAACCTTCATCTGCTCATCTGCAGGATTTGGCTTGTAGCTCCTGTCTTCTTTCCTTGCTTCAACGTCATGTCGGATGCCTGGAACCACGCATGTCACATCATCGCCTTCCACCAACTCCAGGAGTTGCCTCAGGTCATTTGTCGCTCGACAACGCCAGAAAATGAGATGACAGATCTTCCGTTGAAGCCGGCTCAAGGCAACACGAAGATCAAGAGTGCGGTGGAGAAAGTTGTCTTTCATCTCGAAAACCATCAGCAGATGGAATCCATCACGTCCATAGTGCGAGAAGGAATATCGCTCTGGCAGTCAAAGGTGACTTGCCCTTGTCCTTCACACTTCAGTTGATCTTCTGGAAGGCTTCTAGAACAAGTACGATGTCATCAAGCACTTTGGATTTGCGCAAAAGGTGGATGTCCGTTTGCTTCAGGCAATTTCTTCTGGTGACTTGTTCCTAGTGGACTACGGCAAGAACTTTCGTGCAGGCTCAGCAGCCTTCCAATATCTGTTGGAGCGAGTGGGTCACTTTGCCACTCTTGCTTTCCACTTCACACAGAAGCCTACAAAGAACAAGGAGAAGTCTTCCTTAGAGAAAGGCCTTGCTTACATCCAATCCGATGGTCCCAAGAGCAATATGAACAATGCGTGGACGGAGTGGGCAGAAATTGAAGTGAACCGGGAAGACAGTCCCATCTACGGATGGACCGCTGGCTTGGTTAAGGAATCTTTGACGGGCTATGCCAGCGCGAATGTCTTTGTGCGCCCTACTAGGAACTTCTTCCTCACCATTCACGATCTTAGCGCTGGGTTTCTCGGTGACATGAAGAGCAAGACCCTTGTCTTCCTAGGCAACGCTGGAGCCAGAAAGACACCAGCTGCTTCAGCAATTGCAATGGCTTTCTCTGAGTATTGGCTGCTTCGAAGTGAAGACCAGGAAGACAAACGACCAAGCTTTCGTTCGGCCAGTAGCTTTGATCAGCTTCGAGGAGAACCTGGCATCCGCGAGAGGCCAGATATCTTGGATGATGCCGATACAAGTCAACAGGCATTGCCCAAACTGAAGGCTTTTCTCGATGGCTCTCTTGAAGAAGCCTATACGGTCGAAAGGTAGACTACGACAAAATATGTGAAGAACCAGCTCAGACTTGTATGCAGGCATCCACTCAGAGCAAGGCTTGTTGGCGTTGTAAGCTTCACGTGAGGCACAGCTGTATGTGGCTAGGTGGAGAAGAAATCAACTGTGTGTCCTTCAATTGGATTCCTTTCGCATGAGAAGAAGAGCCACAAGTCCAAGAAGTCCACGAGAACTCAGAAAGAGAAGAACAGGCTAAAGGATATCAACGCCAGCGTCTGTGAACAATGCAACGCTTGGCTTCGCCCCCTCAACTTCTTCCTCATAAGTTGTGGATGGAAGAGGCAATGCAGTTCTATAACGCCTGC